AATTTGGTATCTCTTTTCTTTACTTCTTGGATTCATTCAGAATTGGCTCAATTGAAAACTTTTATTTCTTGGATCCTGAAAGATATAAAAGCGGCAGTGCTGAAAATTTTTTGTTCTCTTTAAAGCCTCATGAAATCATTATTAGATTATACAAAGTTAAAATATGTATATGTTTATAGGAAAATCAAGGAACAACAAGTCATAAAGAAAGAAGTAGTTAGCCATGTTAGCTGAAGTCAGTCAGAAATCATGGTAGATATGCTCCTTTATAGACTAAATAAGACATAGAAGGCATTATTACACGAGCTCCAGGAGGGGGGGGGAAGAGGGGTGCTTAAGTTAGCAAGCCATGCTAATTAAAAGTGTCCAAGTGTCAAGTGTATCAATATCACATAGAACGAGCTTTAATTCAAAGCCCCCTGCCGCCATTTTTCAGCATGGAGACGCTGATACACGTGATGCCAGAGTCTGCTGGAATGCGTTTATTTCCGTGCTCCAGCAGACTCAATTGAGTCTGCTCCAATGAACTGGATTTCCAGCGCATCAGAGCCAGCTTCCTGTATGTCTATAGAAGCCCAGAGAATGCAAGCTTTCATGAACCAAAGGTTACTTCATCAGACACTGTGAAAAAGTTGTTCATAACCTTAAAAAAATACAGTTAATAAAGCAGTTGAAGTAGCGAACAGATAAGAATGGAATCTAGTAGAGTGGCAGGATGCACTTCAAATCTGAGACATCAATCTCAAAATAACGTCCCTTTATATACCATTCTGTCCCTGTTATGTAAGCTATTTAGACTTAATATGATAGAAAATCAGTATGAACTAATACACATTAAATATGCATCAATGACTACATTGCTGCCCATCCCAGTGACATGTGAGCTTTTTTGATTCTATAACTATATTGATATGCATCAATATAAATCAAGGCTTGCGTTGGGAGCAGAAATCCTTCAACTGTATTTTTTTGTGTCAAAGACTCCCCAGATCAGTTCTGAAGTTTCCAGTGTCTTAAAACCCTAATGTTCTTGCTTGCACAGTTTGAGGCTAAGCTTGTCTCTTATTTCACCAAACATCTTTAGATCCACAAAAATCTATATAGATAATGGTATCTATTATATATTCTATACAGTGAACATATATATACAAGACATTTACTACACTTGCCTAATGAGCTTCACAGAAAATGTCTCAGCATCTACACATGCAGTGCTATTAGGATGGAGTAAACTAATTAACTCCACCGAAGGTTAGTACTTGTAAACATAAGTAGGGCATGTCAAGATGAGCATGCACATGTCGTATGTAGCACTGCAGCTCTGTCAATGGCACTGCACACGACAAGCACCACACATGCAGGCATTCCCTGCGCTGCTAATTCACAGTCCGGGGTGGGAGATTGATATTGGGAGATCCCGGTGTCAAAAAAAACCATGCCTAAAAAAAAGCAGGTTGGCGCACATGGTGACAGCGTATACCTCCTGAAACTGGAGCCTGGCTGGTCATACCTATGCTCCAGCTGCTGGCCAGGCTCCCTGCTGCCAGATCACAGCAGCTGCAACCCTGGAGGCCTCCAGGACCTGTGTAGATGCTGAGACACCCAGCTGCAGGTCCCAGCCTCCTCTACCTGACCCAGGATCACATGCCACACGTGTGCATGGGTGTTACCTGGGGGCAAGTAGCAGTGGCACACATCATGCTGCTACCGTTTGGCCCTGGGCAAATGCATGTTCCCACTCATGGGGACATGCCCATATGGAGTTTGGGCATGCCCAATGGTGGAGTTTTTTACTCCACAGCAATGCATGAATAGATGCTGATGGGGCTGGCTGGGGTATGAGGGTTCTTTAGTGCAAGGGCTGTATGTCAGCTCGCCCTGCACTGAAGCACCTTTATCTGCCCCAGCCGACCCTTCTACAGCATGTTGAGAGAGGTCAGAGCAGCCCTGGGCCAGCAGGCTGATCCCTACCCCAGGCCCTCTGCATCTGGGGCTGCTCCAACCCAGCTCAATGTGCTGCAGTCTTGGGTACACATTCAAACACAGTGCCTAGGAACAATAAACTCCAGTGCAATATGCACCAGTAGACATGTCCAGTGTGGAGAAACAGGAAGTGTTCTCTGAATTAAAGCCATTGGTCAATCAGTCTCTATTAGCACCAAATATATTCCCAGAAAGAAGTTTTCTTTTACATTAGTAAATAGTGAGCCCTTTAAAATTAAAGCACCGTAGTCAGAACATAATATGAAAATATTAAATCATATATAACTTCCTGTGATGCAAATGTGGGGCTAGATAAAGCCTTTATGTAAAATCCTGGACCAGTGGTAGCACACAATAACTTTATCCCAGGAAAAAGTCCAGAAAGAATCCATGGTACAGATTCATGATTCCCGTTTCTGAGGGGAAGTTACTATACACAGCATTTAAAAGGAATCTAATGGCTTCCCCTTTTACATCTAGTGAACAATTCAGGTTAGAAAAAAAGGGGGCAGAACCAGTGCTCCACCAATTTTCTACCTCTGCTTGCCCACTTGCTCATAATGAATTTTACCCAGACACACAGTCTCCAGTGTGGGACCCAGGTCCACTGAGCAAGGCTGTTAATGATGTTTAAACCCTTTACTCCTACAGTTTGATACTAAGGGTGGGAACAGAGGAACATCAGTAGATAACACAAACTAAATCTATGTAATGTCACCCAATATAACACAGGATTATTGCTGGCAGAGTCAAGGGTATAACTCTACTGTGAAGATTACAACAGTTTATGTTTTGTGTGTTCTCTTCCCCCTTAGGCCAAGGTTATGCTAAGTGCAAACAAGCTGTTTGTTACTTGCTTCTCTGCCACCCAGTGTTGAGGTGCAGTAATAGAACGAACTGCTGGCTAAATACAGACAGTCAAAAAGCCCAAGGTTGAATTGATTCAATCTTCACAGGTTAGTCTGAACTGATAAGCAAGTGAACAGACATTCACTTTTGATTCTAGAAATGCAACCACATGCCTGCAGTGGCCCAGGCCGGAAGCTGGGGCATGCTAGAGCACGCCTCCCTGCTTGGCTTGTGCGGACAGTTTGGGCCATGGGTAGCCCATCCACCCTGTGAGGGGGTTTTTCGGGGAAGCTGCAAAGCATCCTATGATGCTGGGAGGCTGGGAGTTAACTTTGTGAGGCTGTGAGGGGATTTGGGACTTCATTAAACTGATTTAACCTAAATCAGTTAAGTCTGATACTACATCCATCCAGGTTTGTCTTAAACCGGTTTTGGCCATTTTGAAAGCAGTTTATGTGCACTGAGTTTCTGTTCTATTACAGATTTGAACTGGTTTCTGATAACTTATACCAGTTTGTGTGTGATTTCTGTCCCTAGCCTTAAGGACAGCTATCTTATAAAGGCATATGGTTGTTAAAAACTGAGGAGGGAAAAGAATTACGAAGTTGGCACAGGAACAAATGAGTATAAACTGGACATGACTAAATTTGTGTTGCAGCTTGAAAGAAGGTTCCTCATCATTAAAGCAACTGTTTCTGGAATAGCTTACAATTGTAATAATGACTGCAAAAAATGGTAACTAGTTTTAAGATTGGCTTCAGTAAAATTTATGAAAGGAATGATATAATGTGTGCCTATAATTGGAGGGGATTGAACTTCATGACACAGAAGGTCCTTTCTAGTCTTCTATTCTTGTTTGCATATAACTAGGTATGTTATATGTAGTATATTGTGTATCTAAAATCTGTTGTAAGTAGAACTCTCAAAACATTCTGGAAAAATTATTATTTTAAATCAGGCACTAGTAGCTACATATATGAGCTCTTAAAAAGCTGTACAGACATAGATTTTGAAATTCTATTTACATCTATTCATCAGAGCAAACAGTTTGTAGAAGATTTAGCATTTCCTAAGAATAGTATATAAGCTAAATATAAGTCAGGTTCTTTAGTGCGTCAAGTAGTCTACTCCCTTCTCTTGTACATTTGATATCCATTTTTAATATTATGGAAAAAAATAACTTGCACTGTCAGTAATTCTACTTATTTTTGCTTTAAGAAATTCGAAGTAGAACATGCTAAAAAGGAGTACCAGGATGGTATCAGCTGTTTTTTTTCACTTTCATATATGTAACGTGTAAATAAAATCAAATCCATTCATTAAGAAACTAATTAAAAATAATTAAATATTTGCATGACTTAAATGTGTAGCATTTGTAATCTCTAGCAATCCCTGAAACTTCAAGAAGTTGTACTGTAGCTTTGAAAAAGTATGGGTGGCTGTAGATGACAACTATATCTGAAGCCAGAGTATTGCCTTATAATATTTATCTGTACAGGAAAGACTATTTGCCACTGAACTTGGATATACCTTCTGCTGACCTCATGAAAGAAGGTATAAAATTCTCTAGCTAAATGGATCACCCTTCCTCTGGATGTCCCAATCAACAATATTATGGCAGTACAGTATTAGGGAGCCAATTCTGTGCTGCCTACTGATATCAGGAAAGGCTGAGAAGCAATTAACTCTCACAGGAATGGACCTAAATTCCAGACAAAATATTCCCTTACTGGCAGAAAACCACCTCCTTTGTAGTACCTGACTACATAAAGAAAGTGCCTCTTGCACAGTGTAAAGTGGTATAAGAGACATGAGCCAATTAGGGAAAGCAAAACATTTTCACTTGATAAGTTGATCTGGACTTTTTTCTGCCAAATCAGCAATGTCTGAAAACAAAGGAGACATACCAAACCTAGGAGACAGCCTGTCTGCCCAGGCACTCTTCTAGGAGCTCTCTTAATTTAATTTGGCAGGCACATAGCAAAACTACCATGTGTCAGAGTTTGGTATGCCACATAGCACACTACTACCACTGACATTTTCAGACTCATGAAATCCCCATATATACATTTTTGCCTTTAAGGAAGGTCGGCTGTACATTATCTCCACCTCCTTCGTTATCACAACAATCACTTGAATGGGCAATAAGAACAGACCTTGTTTTGAGTATTTTGATAAGCTGTTGATAAGGAATGGGACCCTGAGTTCTTGGTGTATATAAGCCACAAGGGTTTCAGTGTGCCTAACTACTGAAGGGGAACTTAACAACACTGTTCAGCAGCTCCAGAGACACACAAAGATGTTTCTACCGGCACAGATGCTTGCCTTTGCTCTGAGTGGTTTTCTAAGGTTGACAATTGGGTTTGACATTGGATTATCCACTAAATGTGTTGCCATACCTAAGGAGATGAGCATGTGTCACAACATTGGCTATTCTGAAATGAGGCTTCCTAACCTGATGGGACACACAAGCATGACAGAAGTGATTTCAAAATCCACTGACTGGCAGCATTTGGCGCAAACTGGTTGCCACCCTTATGCGAGGACATTCCTGTGCTCTCTATTTGCACCTGTCTGTTTAGATACGTAAGTACCATATCACATGCTAAAATTCAGTCTTTTATGCCTGAATAGGAATTGAAATGAATTTATGTTTGTTTTAAATTGAAGAGTATTCTCAATCCAATAGCTTAAGTATTTTTATTATTATGTTTTTGTTTGGGGGAAAAACATCACACCAGGGGTTTTCCAGTTTAACTTTGATCTGGAGTGAAAAGGAGAGCTGTGACCAAACAATATCATGTTTAGATTTGTTTTGTCAAAATGAAAATGTCTGCTGTTTTAATAACTTGGGGGCCAATCTAGCTACCATTGCAATTAGACACTTATTGGGCCTAGGATCAAGCTCTTACTGAATACCTATCACAAAACAGTATAAGGTTATTGTTCTTAAAATAATACATTCATTCTAGAATCATAGCAAGGTCCACATACAGAGCTCCTCAATAGCCCTTGGTGCCATTAATTGTATCTTTAATGAATTAATCATTAATGAAGATGTGGATGTTAAATACCAATATATAGGAAGGATTTGCACAAAACTCATCTACATCTAGGAGTAGTCACTGTGGTTACCAGTTTCCAGAGATTTTAACTCATTCTGTCTGGTTTTTGCTTGTAACAGCTTCATCCATCCTTGTAGGAGCATGTGTGCTGCTGTTCGTGACAGCTGTGCTCCTGTGCTGGTTTGCCATGGACATGCTTGGCCTGACAGTTTGGACTGTGATCGATTTTCAGCTGATGAGGACATGTGTCTAGCATCCCTTACCAATGAATATAAATATATTCACAAAGGTAGATGGAGTAGGTGGGTGGGAATGAATATACAGAATCAAGCAACTATGTGGAGGAGAAAGCATTCAAAAACAGTCTCTGATTTTGTAAATGCAGCCATGCCCCTTTGTGCATGTTCATACTGCTTGTGCATATTCTGATTCTGATCCTGAAAGGTACTGGATACCTACAATATAAATTGGGCCAGACTTCAGCTAGTAAAAATCAGTGTTCATTTACAGAATGGAGGCTAATGCCATCATTCACATAACCAATTTAATCACCACAATATCAATAGAAAAAATGTTATTTTATTTACTTATAGGCTTTACTGTGTCCCCATCATCATTGTATCCACCCTTTGTATATGCAATGAATATGTGCTCATATCAATTCTGTGAGATCAGGAAGGATTATTATCTCCCTTTTATAGAGGGGAAACTGAGGCATAGAGAGATTAATGTCAAGCTATTCAAAAGTTCTAAGGTCCAAGTTGCTACTATTGAAAACAGGGAGTTTGGTGAGTGTTGAGTACTCTGGGAAATCTGGCCCTATATGGCAAGCCTAAGCTCAGGCAGAATCAAAAGCAGCATTCAGACCTTCTGAATCCTCTCCTAGTACCTTAACCACAAGATCATGCAAGGGTTTTAACAGAGCACCCCAAATAATATTTTTTCAATCCACAGACACAGACACAGACACACACACACACACACAACATAGATGAATATTAAATATGCTAATTGATGCTAATTGATACCCCTGTCACTCTAAGCAGTGAGGTCAAAGACTGAACGGGTATGGAAAATACCAGTTCCCTTCCATCCTTGAAAACAGCACATTTTTAGAGCAGTGCCTAGAAACTGGCATTGCCACTGCCTATGTTCTCCTGTGTGCTTAGTGGTTCAATGGAGAACTTCACTTTTCACTGGCACCAAATTGATGCAAAGGACAAATGATTAATAAGACTTACAAATTTCTTGCCAGTATTGCCCAAGCCTGCCTGCCAGACCTGCCCAGCAGTGGAGGAGTTTTTTACACACAAAAGAATCCTAGAAGTATTCTGTGTCAATAACTTTGGTAAGTTCTTACTAACATACATTTGATTAGAGAAACTTAAGTGTACTCACTATATAGACATCAATCTCTCTTATTTAAAATGCATTAAAAATGGCCTAAAAATAGCTGACCATTTCTGAAGGAACATGAAGGGCTAAATTGTCAGAATGTAGTCATATTTCTGTGGAATCAGTATTTTGCCCCAAATGAATATTTTCTAGAGCTTCCTTCCTTTATAAACAAAATGCAATAGTTTTAGATAGTATTGACTCATTGTCTATTTTGATAATCAAATTGTTTCTTCTTCTAGTGTAAGTTGCTATATTTTATGGATAACATTTATGGTATAAAGGTCAAATAAGCAGTTAATGGCTTTCATTGGTGATTAAACCCCAAAGTAAACATATAGAACATATGGCTTTATGACATTAAAAGATAAAACCTCCTCATAGCTTGTGTCACTGACTGTAATTCCTGCTATGCAGCAACTCAAAGCAAGATTCAGTAAATCTCATTTAAAGAGAGGGTTTGAAAGTTTTGGCTGGTGCCTTATTAGGTTTTTCACTGACAGGCAATACTTTGAGGTTGCAGTTGGTATCTTCATGCAAAGCCTATTCAAGTCAATTTGAAGACTTTCACCGACTTCAGCTGGCTTTTGATCAGGCTTCAGTGGCGCAACAGATTTGGTTGGTGCCCGAGTTTCCCCTGGGTTTTGGGGGACATACGGGTTCCAAAAGTGGGAGGCAGAGGCTGCAGGTGTGGGGGGATGCCTGCAGGTTCCAAGAGTGGGGGAAGCAATCTTATCCATGCCAGGACTCCTACACAGTTCTGGCTAAGCTCCTGCTGCTGCTGCACTTGTTCCGCCCACCCAGGCTGTTGCTCTTAAAGCAGCAGCAGCTGGGAACTGGTTTGGAGTTCCTGGCAGGGCAATGCAGCCAGGGTGCAGACTCCACAAAGGTGACAGTTATGGCATCTGTCCTAACTTGGTATCAGGATGGGTGTCCCTCTTCCTCACCCCCACCTACACTATTGTCAGGCACAGAGCAAAGTCTGTATGGAAAAGTATTAATGCAGCTAAATATGAGGAAAATGCTAGATGTAAAGATATATTGAGAAAAGAAAGAACTAAAGAAGGTGGAGCTAAAGGAGGCACAGAAAGCCAGTTAAGTTGTTAGTTGGTTTTCTTGAACCTTGACAACCCCACAGTTTCAACAGAACCAGCTATGCAGGATGGGATACCTGATCACTCCCAGAGTTTGAAACAGGTGATGAAAAAACTAAAATCCATGATAGTCATCTTTGTGAGAACATTACATTTTTTATGGCCCATGTAATTCAGGGATTATTTATTCATGTTATTTGTTTTAAAATCATTATTGGATTTTTCAGCATAGTAACTTTGTTTTAGTCATACCTTTGTTTTGCGTCATACAATATGGTGGTAGTTTTATCAGTAGTGTAACTGAGACGGGGGAGAGGGTCAACCACCCTGGACACCAGCTTGGGGAAAGTGGGGTATGAAGAAAAGAGGCTGCTGCCAGCAGCCACACATTCTTGATTGTGAACTGGAAGTTGCCACTTTGCCCTAGGCACCCAGACACCTCCCTACCCTGCTGAGTTTTATAAATGATGACTCCACTGTTCAACATTAAATTCCTTACTGCATTTAAATAGATAAAGCAACTTACCTATTTTTTTCTCTTCCTAGCAGTGAGGGTGAAACTCTCCAAAAAGAGAACAATTTCTGGTGACCAGGAATATAATATTGAATGCCAGGTGGAATTCATTAACCAGGGTTTGCTTCTCCCCTATGACACTCAGAACATGATACAGCAGTGGCTACTCATCAATGAAAATTGTACTCAGTGGATGACTCGGAGTCATCGTCCTGTGGTGTATCTCATCGTGGGAAATATTGAAGAGAGCATTGTTTTAGTAAACCAAGTTTACCGCTGGCAGAGGAGGGACTCTCAGTTGATTCTGGCCACACGGAAATGGAAACACCATAAATGTTTATAAATGTTCACCCTATAGTCTCCAGGTATGCAATTATATGCCTTATGCAAAAGATATCTTGTAAATAGCAATGTGTTATAAAATGAAATGTAAAGCCTTTATTGTATTTTATTTTTTTTAAATGTGTTATATAGCAAGTTGAATTCATCCTGGGTGTAAATGAGCATAGTCTCTGAAGTCAATGATGTCCTAGCCACTTACCCCAAGTCTGAATTTGGTCTACCATGTACAAATGTGTTTCCTCAGATTATTATTATAAATGTTATGTAATATGTTTAAATCTTCCATTAAAATGTGTCGAGAAATCATAAAGCTGAGTGTTTTTATCTGTCTGCAGTTTGTTAGGTTTTAACAATAAACACAAGTGACCTGTCTGAAGTATAGACATTTAGGTGCTTAAATATAGATTTAGGTATCTAATGCTTTGAAAAAAATGGTGTAGGTGTCCATATAGGTAATCTACTTCAACTTCTTGCAATGATAGTGTTTTTTTTTAAAATGGTGTGCCAGATATTTCTGAGTAAAATGGTTTCTTCTGTGCAGACAGACATCAGTTTGGAAAGATATTCCTTCCATACATAGGTCCTTAGCCTTGGCAATGACATGGTTGCAGTAGTTAGTTTTATTTCATAATGACTATAGGAATAATATTTTAAAGTGTGAAATAAGTTCAATTTTTTAAACTCTTCTTTTTTAACTTTGTATACACTGTACTGTACAGAAAGTGTACAGTTCTAAGAAAAAATGAATCTACTAAATGATCTATGGTTTAATGTTATCATTTTCAAATAGAATATCAGCTACTTTAAAAATATTAAATATAATTAGCCACCTAGTATGTTTCTAGTTGTCCCAGGGATTATATGAGTTGAATATCATTACAAAAGATCAGGCAACAAGCAAGAAATGCAAAACATCAGAGTGGCCACATAAATAGCATCCTCAACTGTAGCATGCCTGTGCTGCGACTAAAAAGCAGGTAGTGATGGGCAGGGCACAACTTAGTTTTAAATACATAGTAACTAATTTAATAAGAATGTGAAATCACCAAGAAGATGTACAACTGCCACTGCATGAATTATGAGGAATACTTGCCATACACTGCTGGTAGTGGCTATTCTTAAAAGGAAAACATTTAGAATAGTCTAAAACCACGTGCTTTCTACAGGGCAAGAAATAACATGATAGGTCTTTACCATGGCCAAGAGCACCTAAGTTAAAACTATGTTAATGGTCACTGATTTGTTAATCCCCTATTTCTTCATTTTTAGATATAAAATATTTTAAAAAATTAAAATCCTGCCTGTTTAGCAAGTATTCAATTTGCCTTCCCTCTCCTTACCATAGATCCCTGTCACATCTTATTTACTTATGGTTATATCCTGCAATAGACCCTCACAAAGATCATATAAGACTGGGGTTTTAGACTGTGAGGTCTTAATGTAAGGATTGTCTTCTGTCCACAAACGGGGCCCCACTATTGCTTGAGGCCTCTGACCACTACTGCAATGTAAGCAATAGTGAGCACAAAATACAGGTCTCTAAGCTTCTAAGGCTGAGAGCATTGTATCCCAAGTTATAGAATCATTTTCCTGTCCACACTAGTAATAACTAAGGACCTACCCAAATTACGAGTGTGAGGATTTTGTGGAAATTGTGAAATTGGGCAAGCTCTGCAAAATTTGCAGGAGGGTGG